GTGGGTAGGAATAATCGCTATAAAGACTGAAAAAAATAAACATCAAACCAGAAATTGCTCTCTTCAAACTGTAAATTATAAATGATCCTGAGAGAATATTCAGTGTGTTAAGGATTTCCCTGCTCTACTGTTAGCTCTATACAAGAGAGGAAGGGCGATTCTTTTTTAATTTCGGTTTCGCTGACACAGCTTTCGTCGAAATCTCGCTGTAGTCTTTTTCGCCGACAAAAAGAATAGCAAAATCGCTCTCCGCGTCTTCCCCCATTTTGTTCTGCGTCATTTCGTGAAGGACGCGTGGCTCTCAGCGTGGGTCATCCACGCGGAACACATTCGCGCTATGTGATTGTCTGTTGTCTAATCCCCCTTGAGATCTGTGGTGTTAAAAATAACTCGAGACGAATTACCTATGGAATAGGGTGTATATGGGGGATGCCCTCTCTGTCCCCTTTATAGTCTCTTGGTGCACAGGTAACCCAGGCTCACTGTTTGTGTGCGCGTACGGATTTCATAACATGGTTAAATATAGAGAACATATGGGGCGAAGTTTAGGTCTGGAAATTTGCTTGAAAATGGAGACAAAAATCGATGAAACTTACCATGTGGCGAGTTGCTGTTGTCCTTAGTGAGTAGACGAAGTTTCGGGAAAAATAGGCTGCTTCACCTTTCCTTCATAGTAGGAAATAAAATGTCGCTCTTTAAATATTTGGCAAAGTAGTGATTGGTTTTGTATCAGATTTCCTCTTTTTCTAAGCTTCTTTTCAAGTGATGGCCACTAAGATTTCAATTGGTATTTTATCACGAAAGGCGCGGCTTTTTTCTCTGTGAGTTATAGCGCCTTTTGTTTCAAATTTTGTGGGTAGCCTCTCTCCATCAAGCGTTTTTTACGATTTGAAATACTCCTTTCCTCAAACGTTTCTTCAGAGGAGTTGGTGTCGGCTCGGGAAGGGCCGGTTTTCCGTTTGTTTTAATTTAATGTCTCAACATCAGGAATAATGACCTGTTTCGTTGAATCTTGCGCCTTTGTATATTTATAACCGTGTCTAAAAACACAGTCTATGCGTCAGATATTTTGGCCGTGAGTTCAATATTATGGTGATGTAAGTTTCACTGAAGTTTCAGTTCTAAGAAAGCTACGATGTCCATGATGTCTGGTTTAAGTATGTTCCAAAGATCCAGTATGTAGTGTTTCCAAACCATTTCGAGTTAAAGAATGTTTTGCTTACTGAGAATTTGTGTTTCAATATATGCCATGAAAATGTTGGCAAAGGAAACTGCCTGTCTTTGTGCCCATCGCGGTTCTGTGGTGCTTTCCACTGAAGTGGACAGAATTTTCTATGAGAATTAATCTAAGCATTTCTCGCAGGTTATATCAGTAGGAATAGGAAAGTTGTCCTTGTACAAATTTTTATACCCTCTGCAAACTACTCGTTTTATGTTATATTTGCCATGGCTTGTGACGTCCACCGAAACAAGAAATGTTCGAGTTTTCACCTTTTTTTCAAAATATAATTTATTAAGTCGGTATAACTTCCGTGATTTTGATATTGGTTGTATCAACAATGTTACGTAACAACTGATGATTAAGTCATAAAATTTAATGTGGTTACTTTCTAAGGTAGAAAAAATACAAAGTGCTCTGACTCGGCTTTATGGAAACAAATATCGTTAATGTCGGTAGTCGGTTAATATTTTTCCTGGCATTAGTCGATTATTTTGTTCTTGTTTTGTCGGTAGTCAGTAATATTTTTCGCCCTTTGTCGCTAGTCGGTTAACCCCATTCATACCCTCCAATAGGAAATCCCAGAGCAAAAACTTAGCCAGATCTATGACATCGCTTCAATTTTTACTCAATTTTGCGCCTACGTTAGACAACTTCTAAAGTTTTCAATGGACACGAAATTCGGGAATTTATAGTACACTGATCAATTGCAGCACTGAAATTTTTCAAAGAAAATCCTTCGACGAATTTTGTTTTCATCGCTGTTTTCGTGAAAGTAGCTTAGAAATTACAAAAAGAGCTCAGCATTGCGTTTTACTGATTCGCATGCTTTCATGTTTTTTTTTCGGAATCACAGTCAAGTCTACTTGCGTTCAGCCGGTTGTAAAGTGTATAAAGGTCAGTTTGTAAAACTAATGAGTGATAAAAACGTTCGGAAGCATTCAAAAAGTAGTAGATTTGTCTGTATTAAGTCTAGCTTTCAGTTCATACATAATTTATACCTTTTGATAGAAATTCCAAGATGTCTCGAAATTCCTCTTAAAGAATAGGTAACGTAACTCGCATTTCCAAAATGAAATGCCGATAAGGGCAGAAATTCGATTTAGAGCTAAAACTATTCTGACGTCTTGTCACGAGATGTTGATTCCGACCGCCCAAAAATTAATATCATGATAAAGTTTAGGGCCTGTTTACCTACCCCACTAAACCGGGGTCCCCCACTCCATGTAAACAGGGTCTTAGTCTCCAGTGTGTAATATGTGTGTGTAATAACATGTATTA